TGTAGTATTGTGAAAACATAGGTGATAACAAGTCTTAATTTTAGACATCAATTTAGTTACTGAAGTAAGTGCAATAATATTGAAGAAAATAAGAATATGTAGAATTCAAAGGATTTTAAGTGCACATGTTTCTTATTTTGAGCAATATTTATCTTGAAGATTTAACTTTCAGTTGTTCTTCTATAAATAAATTATTTTTAAATGCTTTAAGGAATATTATTAAAAGAAATTTGTTGTAGGAAGGCAATAAATTGCTCTCTATTCTCTGTGTTTTGAACATTTATATTTGACTGTACTCTCTCAGCAAAACCCAATAAAATGCAGGTATTTTTTCTATTTATTGATGAATACATCATGATAGAGTGAAAAAAAAACCAAACAAACATTAAAAAGACTTAGATTATCATCCTACCACTAATGAATTTTATGACCTTGACATAATTACAATACTTTCCTGGGCCTCATTTCTTTCTCTGAATAAACTGATTTAATTCTTTCCCTGTGGTGAGGTTGAAGTCCCAGTTTCATCGTCTATTTCCAAATATAAAAACATTTTATGAACAAGTCTTATCAATAGAGCACATAGTAGTTTAGATATGAATACAAATACAAAATTTTGTTAACAGGGCTCCACTAAGTACCTTTTTCAAAGATTATATAGGAATAATATTACTATAAAGTTAATCATTATAAATTTAAAATTGATAGTGATAGTGGAAAAAATGAAATGACTTTTAGAGTTTTAAATTATGTCTATATGCAAATCTGACAGCTGATATTTTTAGGACATTATGAAAGTCTGGAGACGTACTTTTTCATTTATTCATATAATTTACTCCTTTGCAAAAGCATTTACCAAAACATCTCTAGATGATTCACTATATCTTTAATGTTCTCTGACACAGGTAAACACAGAACTATTTTCTCTCATCCATAAACTCAGATGTGAATATGTTTTTTATTAGGAAACCATATCATTGCATCTTGGTAGTCATTTAATTAGCAGACACATTTAAATTATTGTCAGGTAGTAATTTAAGAATGGGAAAATACAGTTTGATAGGCTATAGCCTTTCATGATTTGATATCCTCAGTTACTTGAATCATATTTTCATTGTTCTTAAGGTTAAAAATGTATCTATAAACCACAATTAGCTATAGAGTTAATAGGTGAATTAATAATCACTCTTCAACTAATGTGAAAACGATCACTGCTTATTTACAAGTTAATATACTCTCATAATTATAAACATAAAATATGATGTCTACAGCAGTGTATGTAGTAGCTGAAATGTGATCTCTAAGTTTGTTCTCCTTCAATGTCAGCCTTTATTTAAAGAGTGTTCAGCAGAACGCTAGTTTTCCTTCAAATGCTTCTTTGAAAATAATATTTTATAAATAAATGTTTGGGAAATGTTGGATTCAGCAAAGGGAAGGAAATTGTGTTTCTTTTGTGTCAGCATCAATATGCCAGAGGAATCTTAATTTGAGCACTGAGCTCATTTTTTGTGTTTTATCTCAAGGGACTAGAGATAATGGGATGCATTTTGAGAAATATAGTTCTGTTTAAAACATTTTGCATAAAGAAAAAATGAAAATTAACTTTAAAACATTGCAGCCCACTTGGCGTCTGCCACTCTGAGAGGAAGATGGGGGTTGTAAGGCCAGATGCTTTTCTGGGAAGGGGCTGGATAAGCCCTGCCACCACTTCTCATAAGTTTACTATGAGCACTGTGACTTAACTGTGTAAAGGGGACATCCAAAGTGAAGCCAAAGGAAGATGGAAACTGTGTTCTTAAACTAATAGAAATGAGATTGTAGTTTTTATTCAAGTTTATTGCATCATGGTCTTGAAAAACTGCTAGTTGCAAATTAGGATAGTTGTCCTTTTCTTATGAGGTTGGTCCTGAGAGTGCAGTGTGGAGATTGCTTTCTTCCTGTGTGAATTACTTGTTTCCTTTGAAGAAAAAGATCAACAGAAGGAAATCCGTGAGAGTTTTCAATACAGATGTCTCCAAAAGAGTTATTGCTGCCAAGCTTTTTCCCCCCAATGTGTCACATAATCTTTGTATAATTTATAAATGATAACAGAGCAATCAGGCCACATTCATAAAAGCCCAGTGACACATAATTTAGTGGAATCTGAGGATTAGAATTAATTATCTCTCTTTGTTCTAAGTTCTAAATCTTAGTAAATGATTCACTGTAGTCATTACAGCTTAATATTTGCATGAAATCACAGTTTAGCTGGTATAATTTAACGGCAATTAAAAAGCTATTTAATCGTCATGCAAATTGGTATGAGGGCCCTTGAGTAAGAAGGGTGTCTGCCTTTTTAATTTAAGTATCTCTAGGCGGACAGTCATATACTTGCAGACACCCATAACATAATTGATAACATTCTTCCTGATCTTAGAAATGTAAGTGAATAATAATTCATGTTTTCCATTATAAATAAGAGAAAAGAGCAACAATACGAATATGTCATCCAGTAGGAAGACACTGTTATGATGATGATAATGAATCTTTATCTCCTAGGCATGAGTCTAGGTTGGAGATTAAAAAAAAAAACACACTATGCTTACCTCTGTGCTTTAGTTTATAATCCCTTCAATATTTGCCTTTCTGAAAGCAGACATGTCTGTAACTCCCTGGAACATGAAATGGCATAAAGCAAGGTATACAGAAACCTTTTAGAAAAACTAACTGTCCCCCATTTCCAGGGCTGGCTTTAGGTGGTGTACATATAGGTGTCTGAGCCATACCCATCAGGTTGCTGATAATAGGATCCAACAAGATGAAAAAGGGAAGCATAACATTTCTTAATATCTTGAACCCGACACCCAATCATATGGATTTAGGAGTGATTATGTTATGCTTCTCTAACACCGTGCAACAGATCTTGTCACTGAGTCCTCTGTACTCTTTAAGACCACTCCCCACACTACAGCCGGATTGCTGTTTTTGAAACACATCACTTCTGTACGTAGAATCTGTCAGCTTCTTCCCTTTAAATGGAAAAATATATATATGTATATCTACAGACTCATTCCAGTGAGCATAGCATTCTTGCATTAACCGACCCCTTCCTGTTGCTTAAAAGTCACTTATTTACTCCTTCTGCATTCTAGCTACAGTGATCTTCTGTCACTTCCATGCCTGTTTCACAATCTTTTTTGACTGAAGAACCATGCATGTTCTATCTCTAAAATCCTCCCTACCCCTCTCTACATCTTCCACACCATCTGCATGAGACCTTCTCAAAGGTTTCTCAGGTTGGCCCCTGATACTTTTTTTAGCTCCATTCCTTTTGATTTCTGTAATTGCACTTATTATAATTTGAATTTTATTCTTCTGGTATTGTGTGTGTTTGTGTTTATCTAGCCATTCAGCTAAAATGTTAATAGAAAGAAAGCAGAAATAACATTTATCAGCTTTATGCTGTAAGCCCAAAATCTAGCAGAATATCTGGCACACTTGGTAGTCACGGAAAACTTATTTAATGAATGAATGACCATGTCTTGAAATCCAAAAGAAGCCTATATGAAAACTTGAATTTATTTCTATGCAGAGAATGTCACAGAGGATTCTTTTCCTCCTTCTAAGCAAATTGCTGAATTTTAAAGAACTGTTTGAATTTCTTAAGACTACCCTTTTAAAATATAGCAGGAATATTATTTAATGAGTCATTTATGCAGTGAATTATTTTTCAAAGTATTTGTCATAGGCACAGTCTCTTACAGAAGGATTCTGTGGCATTTCACAATATAGCAAGCAGATAGTGCACTGTCTGGCACCTATTAGACCTTCAGTTAATAATTGTTCAGTGAATGATATGAAACCGAGGTTTGAAGGACTCAGATGAATATACTAGATTATTGACACAATTTTAAGAGAAAAAAATGAATAGTTAAAGATATTAAGTACTCTGTGTAGTGTGATCATATGGAAAAATAATGAGAAAAGAGAGCAGATGCTCATCCACCACCCATGACCAATATGGCTTATGCAGAGTCTTGATGACACATAAGAGGATCTTGGGAGTCTCTTTATAAGCTTTCAAGGGCACATTTACTTATGCTTAGTAAAGTTAATATAAATAAAATCTAGGTACCATATCTTATGTATATCCCCTTTGATCACTTCCAAATCCACCTGCCAATGCAGGAGACACAAGAGACCTGGGATCCATCTCTGGATCAGGAAGATGCCCTGGAGAAGGAAATGTCAACTCACTCCAGTATTCTTGCCTGGACAATTCCATGGACAATTCAGAAGGACAGTCCAATTCCATGGACTCTAGTGCCTGGCGGGCTAGAGTCCAGAGGTTGGCAAAGAGTTGGATACAATTGAGCACACTCACACAGCCCTTCCAAATAATGCTTTTGTCCCATGAAATTTACAGAACCTAAAAAAGTATTTATGCCACCTCCAGTTTCTGTTCCTATTCCCTTCCTTCCAAACTGTGTGTCCACCCTAGATTTGTGGCCATTTATTCTCAGCCTGTGAGAAAAGGATTCTTAGATTTTCAAATGAATGAGAGGTTTAGTTATACATCAAGCATAGTTTGAAGACTGAAATACTGAACACATATTTTATATATGTATGTTATTATTTTTTCAAAGTTTTTAAATGATGATGCAATTATTAAGATGTAATCATACAAAGCCATCATGTAATTTAAAATAATGTTCGGTTATTATATTTTTTCAGTGAACAAATTTAAGAAGTATAATTACTGTATCTTTTGGTGGCTTTTGATGTTACATACTGAAATTCATATGCCAAAAGTTAATATATAGACCATCTTCACCCCTAAGACTCCATCCTTCCTCAACTTATGCAGATATTTTTAACCATTTCTCTTTATGGCTTCCATCAGAAGAATGAGCTCAGACTGATATAAAAGACCAGCCCATGTTTATTGATGACATTTTCAAGTTAGCACTATAGTTCATTGTCCTATACATGTACATTTGTTTTTTAATTACTTTCTCTAGGGCCGCCTTCAGCTCCTAGGAATGTGGTTTTTAACATCAATGAAACGGCCCTTATTTTGGAATGGAGCCCTCCAAGTGACACAGGAGGGCGAAGAGACCTCACGTACAGTGTGATCTGTAAGAGATGTGGCTTAGACAGCAGCCCGTGTGAGGACTGCGGTGGAGGACTCCGCTTCATCCCGAGACACACAGGCCTGACCAACAGCTCCGTGGTAGTGCTTGACTTCGTGTCCCACGTGAATTACACCTTTGAAATAGAAGCCATGAATGGAGTTTCTGAGTTGAGTTTTTCTCCCAAGCCATTCACAGCTATTACAGTGACCACGGATCAAGATGGTAAGTTCTACCGCTGTTCTCTCAAAACAGATCTGTAATTCCATTTTGATGCTTAATATCCCCGGTGGACCTATATTCACTGGGGTACAGTTGCACATGCTCTACATTATAGGGGTGATTTACTGATTGTTGTTCTTACTGTTTCCCAAGGTGCAGAAAGGTATTTTTTATATTACTTCTTACTAGTATTGTCAATTAGATACAATCCTTCTCTTTAATGGCTATGCATTATGTTTTTCATATAATCCTGTGCCGATATAGCTTAATAAGCAAGTTCACATTACTTATCAACAAACGTCAGACATAAAAAAGGTTACTAAATGAATTAAAATTCAGCTGCCTAACTTATGCAGCCCTCTCTTTTCCATGTCAAATAAGCAAATAGTAAGGATTTATACTAATTATAATTCATATCTATATAATAAAAACAGTGCAGCCAACATCCCTAACCATAATTCACTCTTAAAAGGAACAGAAAATATATCCATTAATGTATTTAAATGCTGTTGTTTAGGTGCAGTTTTGTGTAAAAAATATCTTTTTAAAAACTCCAGTTGCTTTCAGCTAAATGGCCCCTTTTAACACTTTAGATTTTTACTGCAATGTAGTCAGGCATGAAGAGTCCTATGCTGTTTATAAGAATATATTCTCTTTAATCCCCCCATTATGTAATTTTTCACAAAGAAAGATACCAGGAAAACTTAAGATTTAAAAACTCCCTTTGAGAAGCATTCATAAATTATGTTGTTACGAAAAGGATTGTCTTATAGCAAAAAGTATTGTTTTATGTGAACACATATAGATGAGAATAATTTATACAGATAAAACTATTCTTTTACACTATATTTATTTGCTGAGTCTGCTATAACAAATGCCACAGACTAGGTGGCATAATTATAGTGCAACATCAAAACCAGGAAATTGACATTTGGAAAATCCACAGGGTTCATGTGGCTGTGAAGGAGTATCAAGAGTGAGCCTTGCAGTGATAATGGTGGTAGTTACATGAAGTTAGATCCATGATAAATTGCAAAGAGTTACACTCAATGCATATACATGGGCATGTGCACGCGCACACACACACACACACACACACATACACACACACGAGCCCTGTGGATTTTCCAAATGTCAATTTCCTGGTTTTGATATTGCACTATAGTTATGCAGATAGTTAACATTGGGGGAGCCTGGGTAAAGTATATGTGGGAAGTTGCTGTACACTTTATTTTTTGGTAAGTTTCTATGACTCTATCATTGTTCCAAAATAAGAAGTGAAAAGAAAAACACTGCTAAATCTGTAAAAAATACAGGAAGAAAACTTTAGCATTCTAAAACCATATTTGAAATGGATTTGACTATTCAAACTAATATACATAAGTTCACTTTACTGATGCTCTTCAGAAATACATGTAATAAATAAAGCAAACAAATAGTACTGTAAAATCACCATTTTTGTATTTACTATATAATGTTCCCCTTCATTTAACAAATTGTTCTACATCATAGACTTTGCTTTTTGGTTGTTAAAAATGGAGTTCCTGTTTTCCTTTTTTTTATTCTTTCCCATAGTATCAACAGAATCTTGTCAGATGTGTTTTCAAGATAAAACAGATTTAGGTCTTCTGTTTTGCTCTGCACTAGCAGATTATTTCTAAGCCTTTTTTCTGCTACCTGATTTAAAATAACCCAGTACAACTGTTCTAACTATAAGGTATAAATAATTAAGTTTGAGAATAAAAACAATATATGACTTTAAATCAAATACATATGTAAATATGTTTCTATAATTTTATACATTATACATACATGTAATAGTCTTTCTTTCTAGTATTAGAAGAGAGTTCATATGGACTATTTTTCTAATGTAGCAGAAGGCAGGGTGAAATCTATTTCTCATTTTGAAAATGAAAGAATTCATTAAAACTGTATTGCTATAAGGGCAGAAATTATATTAGTCATGGAACAAGATGTAATATCCATATATTGAAACTAAACTTTCTGGAAGAGGATAGTAAATATTATTAAACAATCCTCCCAATAAATTTATCTTTGAGAAGACTATTGAGAAAAATGCATATACTCTAGTCAGGAGTAGCATTGTGAAATAATTCAGTCTGTGCCTGTATCAGTTACTCTTCCTATCAGAAAGGGTCCGATCCTAGTGTTGGAGTAAAAAGGAACCTGTAGAAACTGGAACGTCCCACAACCAAACTTGAGCTGTCCTCATTGTATGCCAGCCTTGATAAGACAGCAGTGTACTATTGCAAGTAGAGGGAGGGACCTCCCATCATTCTACTTGGGTATCTTTGGAAATTTTCTTTGAAGCAACTCAAGAGGTGCTATACAAAGTTACAGGATAGCACATTACAGTTTTACTCGACTGAGGAGACCACAGTAAATTCTTTGTCTCATTACTCATAAGTTACATATCATTGTTTTCACACCATAGAGAAATGATAGAGATATTCATAAGTGTTTAATTTATTCAGTATATGTACAGTGGTGAGAAAGCTCTTATGAATTTTACACCCTGGCAGGGAAGTAGATAATAAATAATTTGACAAATGCATAAATAGTACTGTGATAAATCACACCAAGGAGAACATTAGGTTCTCTGAAAGCATGTATTCCTCAGGTCTGGAGGATAAGGTCTGGTCTTCCTGAGGAAACAGTGTTAGGTTCTGTTGTGAAAGATAAGTGGGATGTGCATAAGCCAGATGAAGCCAGAAGAAGGGAAAGAATGCTGAGTGGAAGGAACCAAGTGAAGATTGAGCAATTGAGGAATTAAGCCCTGAGGGCTAATATACCCAAGGAGGTCGATGACATTGCTGTATTGCAGAAGTACAGTAGGACCTGGGGATGGAACTGAACACTTAACCTAAGATTTGGAGAAATAGGTTGGAGTCTACAAAACAGCCAAGACAACTTAGGGGGACAGCCATTTAGCAGAAGTTACTAATACATCCTCAGGGCCACAGGTTGGGTAAAAGAAAATCAACAGAATAATAATGCTGTACATGAGTTGAGTTAGTACAATTAGGAAATAAAATGAAACAGACTGAAAAATATAGACAGTTGCATTAATTATGTTTTTACTACTCTATGTGTGCAGTATAGAACATGAGGATAAAGAGGAAATTTGCATCAAATAGCCTTTTCTTTCAAGTAGTTAATTGTTCTTAGTCTCTCAGTCGTTGTCCAACTCTTTGCGATCCCATGGACTGTAACCTGCCAGGCTCCTCTGTCCATGGAATTCTCCAGGCAAGAATACCGGAGTGGGTTGCCATTTCCTCCTCCAGGGGATCTTCCCAATTCAGGGATCAAACCTGCATCTTCTGTGTCTCCTGCATTGCAGGCAGATTCTTCACCTGCTGAGCCATCAGGAAAGCCCATGGTTAATTTTATATATATATGTATATATATTCTCATACTTAAGAAATATTAAGGAAACCATATTAAACAACCTTTACTTAATTGTTTACTGTTTACAATTAAAGAAATGTAAAAAAAAAAATTCCCAAATCACTTAGAACTACTTTAGCTGTAGTTAGGAGAAACGTTCCTTGATTATACTGATTCTAGTTGGATAAATAAGATTATAGATTTAAGACTATGACTCTCATAATTAGAAATCTTAGCAATAAACCTTAATTAACTGACTTCTACAATCCCTAAAAGCTATATTTGCAACCTTCTATTTTCATAGTCTATTTAAATGGTCTTTAGAGGCGGTTCATTTAGAAAGCAAAACAAGAAAGCAACACCTAGAAACCATTTGATTTTAATCATCAGTGCATGATGGAAAAACAAAGATGTGTGATTTAGTAAAAGGAATTATTCAGGTCATAGACAGTAAAGGAAAATGTTAATCATGTATAGTCAGCTTGAAACAAATTGTGTTTGTAGATATCCTGATATGTGCAAAAACCTTAAGGGATCATGTTCAAAGTGAAAGACATGCTAAATTACAAACCAATTCTGCTGGTATTTGCTAAAGGGTCTTTACAGCAGTTATTGTCAGAAGCAGTTTTTCCAATCATCTGACTTCTTAAAATGTATGTTCAACACTCCTATCTCTGCCATTGGGTGACTATTCTATATAGGTCTTGCTTTAGGCTTACATTTTGTTTGCAGATTCATATATGTGCTCAGGCAGGAATAATTAATTGAACTGACATTGAAAATAGATTCAAATCAACATAAGTCTCCATATATTTATAAACTTTAGATGTCTATTTGATTTACAGTTCATTGCATCCTGAAAATATAATCTATTTCAAATAGCAACCTTTTGCACGCTGCTAGAGTAGTTAATTAGGGACATTGAAAACATTCATTCATCTTTATATCTGTATTTTAATTTATTTATGTCTGAATATTCCTCCTAATCATCACTATGTTTTCAAAATTCTTGACAGTGAATATTTTTTTATTAACTTTGTGCTGCTGCTGCTGCTAAGTCACTTCTGTTGTGTCCGACCCTATGCGACCCCATAGATGGCAGCCCACCAGGCTCCTCTGTCCCTGGGATTCTCCAGGCAAGAACACTGGAGTGGGTTGCCATTTCCTTCTCTAATGCATGCATGCATGCTAAGTCACTTCAGTCATGTCTGACTCTGTGACCCTACGGACAGCAGCCCACCAGGCTCCTCTGTCCACGGGATTCTCTAGGCAAGAATACTGGAGTGGGTTGCCATTTCCTTCTCCAAAACTCTGTGCAAGTTTATTCAAAGCAAAAGAAATCAATATAAAAGTATAAATGCTTACTAAAGATACACTGAATATAAGATAGTGGCATAAGTTAAAAAATAATAAAAGCAATAACCATAATTTAAGCTAAGTAATACTATCATATTGTATTTTTCATATTTCCTGATCAAAAGAAAATCACATATTCAAAAGCCATAGACACTTTATATTGACGGATAAAATTTTCCTATTTTTTAAGAAAAGTATTCTTCTTCTGAGAAGTATACTGAGTATTTTATGCAGGGAAG